GGCGTTCCTCGCTTGGGTTCTCTATGGCAACTACAACTGAACCGCTCTGTTGCACAGATAGCAGCTGGCAGAGGTGGGGGAGCAGAGAACTCTTGCCACACCTGCTCCTCCCTTTAGGAAAGAACCCCTCCCAGCTCAGAGCCCTGGGCCCAGCCTTCATGCGATGCTGTGCTAACTCTGGGTGCTGTGTCCCTCTACTTCAGTCAACTGGCCTAGACCCTTGAAGGTCATTCAGCAAGTCGCCCTATTTTGAATTTGGGCCTGTCCAGGCCCCTTGGCTCCTGAGCATAGCTTGAAACATAGATATGCAGGCGAAAGCCAGGGTTGTTTACGGGGACCCCTGAGCCGATTGAAGATCCTTCTCAACCACAGCTGCATTTCCTGGGCAACCATAGCTTTTGTCCATTCCTGTGGGCTCCTGAGACGCCTAAATTTGTCCCAGCTCACTGAATTGTTTCTCCGGTCCCTGCCCAGCTCAGATGACCTAAGCAGAGCCCAGATGCTACTGTGGGGATGGAAAACTGAGCCAATCAGGAGACCTTGTTTGCTGAGGGAGCTGATGAAGGAAAGGGTGCCCGTGGACAGACCCAGCCTTTCTGGGTTTTGTGAGTTTTGATTCACCTCCAGGTTGGAGAGAATCGCCGGCATCCTCTCATAATGGAATACTGGTATCTGGCTTAGATGGTCACCTACTCAATTATTGTAATTATTATTTTGAGTTGGTGATATATTTACTTGGTTCAAAAAGCAAAATTATACAAAAGATATACAGTGAAAAGTCTCACTCTTTTCCCTGCTCCCATTCTCCCACTTCTCCGCCACCTACAAAGTCACATACAGGTAACCACTGCCACTTTTGTTTCTTGTGTACCCTTACAGAATTTTTTATACTAATAAAAAAAATGTATTCCTTGTTCACCCCACCCTTTTTGTAATCAAGTTGTCATGCGATCAATCATACTGCTCTGCACCTTGCTCTTGGAGACTTTCCCATTATTAGTGTCTAGAGGGCATCCTCCTTTTTCGGAGTTGTATAACGTTCTCCTCTGTGAATGTACCCTGTTTATTTCACTGTTTTTTATTGATACACACGTGGATAGTTTTTATCCTCTTGCTATTTAACTAAGTAACCTGGCAGTTATATCTGTAGACTAGATTCTTTAAAGAGGGGTTACTGGGTCAGAGTTTACCTGCAATGTTGGCAGTGCCGCCTGGCCTGCATAGGAGTGGTACCAATCAACCCTCCCTCCAGCAAGGTATGAAAAGATTCAGGAACTTCTACCTACCAATGCCTCTTCCATTCCAAATTGAGCTCTTTGTAATGATTAAATCAGGAAGTAAGCGGTTTGTAGGAGGGGACCCTATCAGATGTCATTAGTACTTGTGGTCTCCACCCATTTAGCATTTGTTAATCCTATAACTTCATAGACTTCAGGGACACGTCAGAGGCTGGTGAGGGAGAGTCGCAGGGCTAGTCTGGGCCTGTAGTTCCTAGCCTTTCTCTGGGAAGATGGTACCAGACCTTTTTAGGGGAAGATGTCCATAGTGAGGTGCTAGAGTTAAAATTAGTTCCACTCCACCCTGGCCGGTGTGGCTCCGTTGAATGTCGTCCATGCACCAAAAGGTTGCAGGTTCAAATCCTGGTAGGAGGCATGCAGGAGGCAGCCAATCAATGTTTCTCTTTCTCTCTTCCTCTCCAAAAAAAAAAAATCATCAATAAAAATATTTTTAAAAATAAAATTAGTTCCACTTCTGCCCAGAGTTTCGGTTTCTTGGGCCTTGCTATCAGTGGGACAGATGACATGTAGAGAGGGTACCCTGGGCTCATCTGGCGCCATAACTCAGAAGGCCAGGGTGGGGAGATAAAAAGGGTCATGCGTGAGTCATGTCTCTGTTTCTGTTTTGATTCATTCGCCCAAACCTTTCCACCCAACTAATGACTGAAAACTGTTGCTTTTTATTAGTGTGTGTTTTTCCCACATGAAATGAGCTGAATGATGTCAGGGCTGTCTCACCCCTATTCTGGTGCATCCAGAGTGGCTGTAGGTGGTTCCTGGACACACTGGAACAGGGGGTCCTGAAGCCTTTATGCCTCGGTGACCAGGGCCCAGACAGCTCAGTTAGAGGGGGATGGGCCTGGTGACTGGTGCTTTATCTGTGATGGGTGTCTCCTGCCAGGCCCTCCACCCTGGGGTGAGTCATGGTGGCCATCTGGGGCAGGAGGAGTAAGGCACCCAGTTCTTACTGCTTGGTGCTCTGGGCCAAGGAGGGGAGAAGAAGCACAGGCCTCTCTGTAGACTTCTCCCGGGGAGCAAGGACCGCCGGAGAGTTGGACATGGTTCCTGATGGGTCTGGAACGGTAGCTCTGAGTGTGGCAGTCACTGTATATTAAAAGAGAGAGAGTGTGTCTTTATATTTGCATCTTTGAGTTTGGAATGTCTGTTTCTGCTCAACTTAAAAATCTTAGAGCAAGGGTCTTAAACTTTTGGGTGTCAAGTACCCCTTTTAGAAGCTAAAAGCCACAGATCCTCATCCAAAATAAAAGCACTCTCCGTAACAATGCTGGAGCAATTTCAGGGGGTCACTGGAGCCCCAGAAGCCCACCCCCTAACCCTCTTAGGATAGTAGTTCTCACTTATTAGTGTTGTTATTATTACTATGATTATGTTATTATTTTGCCTACGTACTGCACACAGTAACATTTTTCATTGCATGTGCCTGATTCTCTGTGGAGGGGTGAGAGGGATTTCTCCTTCCCCAGACATTGCCTGGGCGCTTTTCCTGGTTTTCACAGAAGGAAATTAGGAGCTGTAGGCTGAGAAGAGGGGGACTGGGCATGATATTTGGGCTTATCAATATTTCCCTACTTGGAGTGATTGCAGAGGAATGCCTTCGCTTACTCCAGAGAACCCTAATGCCCATGTTCAGAGGCTGCCTAGGAAGATGAGTGAGGCCAAGGAGGATGGGTGTGCCACTGCCTGCCATTCCCAGGCTCCCCAGCGTGGCTGCATTCTATCTCCTGGGGAAAGTGGGAAGGTTAATGACTGATTATCCCAGCCATTAGTCACATCACCAAGGCACTTGATTCCCTGCAGGATCAGTGCCACCTGCTGCCACTCTCCCTCTTCAGTGCTCTGGGTGAGGAGTGCGAGCCTAAGGAAATAGTCACCACCTTCCTACAGGTGTGGATTTGTTGCTGCACCAGCCCCAGGGCCACGAGACGGGACAGAGGGGGGTCTCTCCCCTGTACACCCAGGGCCACACGAGACCTCAGGGACAAGGGGACTAGCTATGGAAAAGAATATGTGGACACTTACGCGGAGATTCCACCACATGCCCGTACACACATCAGATGTGTAGCTATATCTGTCTGCATGCACATGTGAACATAGATGTAGGAACACGTGTGAAGGAGAGGCTGCGCCTGGTAAAATAAGTCCTCCGACGTCTGGGCAGGGAAGAGCTCTAGCAGGAAGCACTCAGGAGAGGGAGGGGTCCTGCCTCTTTCCCCACCCCTGGGGCGCTCTCACTGAGCTGTCTGGCCTCTGGGGATTCGCCACCTTTTTTATGGTCCTCACAGCCCCAGGACAAGAGGGCTAAACAAAGCTCATTTTTATAGGACAGCAGTGACTGCCTGTCAGTTATTACAGTGAAGGCAGAAATCAGGTGAGAACCTCTGTTTTCAGCAATTATGTCCTCAGTCTGGGTTTCTAACAACACTAGTCACAATAAATGATGGGCTTCATTTCCCCTGTTCTCTAAGAGGACAGCGTCTGCACCCACCTCTGGGCAGGCTGTGATCCTGCCTCCAGCGCATCCTCTCTTGCCAAGTCCCAGTCCTGATAGTGAGCTGCAGAACAGGGTCTCGACAAACAAGGGTGAGGAGTCAGGAACCGACAGGGACCAAGTGCCCCCTGCGTGCAAGACCTTGTGCAAGAGATTGTACATACTTCATCTCGTGTAACGTTTCATACCAGTCCTTAGAATTTTTCCTCATTCCACAGATGCTAAAACAGAGGTTCAGAGCCGAAGTCACTTACACAGGTTTCCCGGAGATGGGATGAGTGGCCCCACCAGTTTCAGACGCTGTTAGCCCGCCGCCCTGCCTCCAGCATAGCACTGTTTCCATCCTTGTGAGGGGAGCACCTTCTCCCACCTGTGCCTTCCTGCCCTCTGACCACACCTGGAGAAGGTGAAGGGAGCTCAGGCCACTACTGTGTTTCTGTGATCAGATCCCTTCCCCTTTGAGGGCTTTTCCCGCCTGGCTTGTAAAACAATTAGCTTGGCCTCAGTAACGGCCAAGTCCCCTCTTCCCCCGAATATACACACTCATATTTTTAGATTCTATTCATGGCCAGGAGAACTCCCCACTCCCCCACCCAACGCTCCTTTCCTTCCTGTGGAGTCTGTCTGCAGTCAGCAGTATCCAGATGGAGAGAGGAAGTCTACCCCCTAAAACATGAATGAATGAAGGGAAGCCCTCCCTGCATGGGAAATAGAAATCTCTCACTCTTGGCTGCGGGGCTCATCAATAATTCAGGGGCTGCTGTCGGATCTGATCTCTGCAATGGTTTCGTCAATATTTCAACTCCTTCTCCAGAACCCGTTTCTTAGCAACCACAGCATCCGTGCTTTCCAGGAGGGCTGTGTGCTGGGTGCTCCCTGCATGTCCAGTCCTGTAAGTGGGCAGGGGTGGAGCTACCCGTGCCAACTGGAACTGGCAACTTTGGTCCTCACAGCCCCAGGGCGATGCTGCACACAGGAGGCATGTACACACCAAGTGAGTGAGAGGAACGGCCTGGCATGGGGCCCTTAGGGCAGGAGCAGGTGGACAGGGAGGGGAATTTTGGAAGGAGGTCGGTATATCTTCCTGGCCTGCCTAAAACTGACACCCCACGCCCTGGTCCTAGGTCAGCCTGCCCTCCCTTGGTGTGGGGAAGGGGGTGTTCTCTTTTCTGCTCCTTACCCAGTCTCAGGTGCTGGTTTCCTTTGTGGCCTAGGTGCGGTGGAGGCTTGCCTCCTGCATCAGCTGAGACGCCGTGCTGCTGGCTTCCTGCGCAGTGACAAGGTGGCAGCTCTGTTCACCAAGGTGGGGAAGACGTGCCCAGTGGCTGGGGAGATTTGCCACAAGGTCCAGGAGCTGCAGCAACAAGTAGAGGGCAGGTGAGCCCTGGGCCTGTCTCTCCCCACTCCCTCTGCTCTTACCATTTGGTATTTGCTACTTCCCAGGTTGGCTTCCTGGGCTCATTTCTTGCAGGGCCTCTCAGAACCAGCCTAAGGGTGGGCCTTGGCCACTTTCAGGCACAAGGCCTTCAACAACTCCACCTAGTCAGTCCTCCGGGTTCTCATCTTGTGGCACCAAACTGCCCTCCCAGTGCCACCAGTCTGGGGCTCAGCCCTGGGCTCTCGCATTCTTAAAGCCCACCCCTCTTTGCAGGAAGCCCTTGGTGGGTAACCAGGAGCCCCTGCGGAGACAGGGCTCTACCAGTGGGAAGGCCCCAGCCCTCAGCCCGCAGGCCTTGAAACACATATGGGTCCGCACAGCGCTCATCGAGAAGGTGCTGGACAGGGTCGTGCAGTACCTGGTGGAGAACTGCAGGTGAATGCCCCTCCCTGGGGCCCAGCTTCAGCATCCCCGCCTCCGCAGGCTTGGCTGTCCACCTTGGCCTGTGAGCATGCCCCATCTCCCCCGTAGCACCTTGAAAGCATGGGCTACACCACACACCTCACAAAGCTCAGTTCTTGTTTGCTTTTTATTGTTTTTTGCTTTTCTTTCTTCTTTAAAAAATTCTTTATTGTTGAAAGTATTACATGTGTCTCCTTTTCCCCCATTGATCTCTCCCAGTCTGCTCCTGCCCCCGCCACCGCCCCCCCCCCCCAGCAAAGGCCCTCACCTCCTTACTGTCTGTGTCCATGGGTTATGCTTATATGTATGCATACAAGTCCTTTGGTTGATCTCTTAACACCCCCCACACCCCCGCAAAGCTCAGTTCTTACGGGTTTATTTCTTCTTGGTGACTGACATGCATTTGGTGTCTGTGGGAACGTCCCTACTTGGTGAGCTTGACGCCCTGGAATGAATCCGGGAGCCCCAGCAGCCCCCCTGTCTGTCTCTCCCGCCGGCAGCAAGTACTACGAGAAGGAGGCATTGCTGGCAGACCCCGTGTTTGGCCCTATCTTGGCCTCTCTTCTAGGTGAGGCTGAGAGCAGAGCGGCCTACACTGGGCCAGTGGGAGCGGAGGGTCAGGTGCTGAGGGGGCATCATCCGAGCTGGCTGTCCCTGTCTCCACAGTGGGACCCTGTGCTTTGGAGTACACCAAGCTCAAGACAGCCGATCACTACTGGACCGACCCTTCTGCTGATGAGCTGGTCCAGAGGCACCGTATCCGGGGTCCCCCTAATCGCCAGGACTCCCCTGCAAAGCGCCCAGCCCTAGGAGTAGGCATCCCTTCCCTACCTCTTGTGCTCATCCAAGTTATGCCCAGGGGCCTGTAGGGAGGGGCAGCTGGTCACCGTGCTCCTTGAAGAGACAGGCTGGGCCTTGGCGATGCCCCAAGGTAGTGGCCATCCCAGAAGGGCCTTTTCCCCACGCTGGCACTTAATGCCAGGAGCACACCACTGGTTTGCGGCTAGAGAGCAGAGGGTGGCTGAGAGCAAACCAGGGGCAGGGGGACCCCTGGGGTCAGCTAGAGAGGATCTGCCTGGAAACCTAGGGTCCTCCCTCCAGGGCTGACTTCCCAGGGCTGGGGCTGAGCTGGGACTTTGTGCAGATCCGGAAGCGGCACTCGAGCGGCAGCACGTCGGAGGACAGGCTCGCGGCCTGCGCCCGGGAGTATGTGGAATCCCTGCACCAGAACTCCAGGACGCGGCTGCTCTACGGCAAGAACAACGTGCTGGTGCAGCCGGTAGGAAAGCTTAGTGCTCGCCCTCATCCTCTCCCGAGGGCCCCAGGAAGGAACCTTCCAGCCACATTCATCCCTTTCTTAAGGGGCTTGACTAAAGAGAACCCTCCCCCCGCCCCGCCCCAATTCACTGATTCATGCCCAGTCTTGAATGGGTGGGAGCCGGAAACGGCATCTATTCTGGCTGAGAACCAGAGCATCGGGGATGGGAATGGCAGCCAGCAGGCAGCTTGGGTATGGCTGGCCCAGGACATACCTGGCATCCAGGAAGCTGACAGGGCGGAGCCAGTGGCACCAGGCCAACCAGGAAGAGTTTATGTTTACATCTGCGTGTGGCTCGTGCCTTCCCTGCTTCTGCCCGGCCCCATTCCAGGACCCTGGATTGGACTAGCTGGGCCTCCCCGACTCCCACCTGCAGCTCGTTTTCCATAGGCCATTCCTGGGAGCCTCTCAGCCCCTCATCGTCTCTATCTTCTGTTGTGTCTCCTCCCCACAGAAGGAGGACATGGAGGCTGTCCCCGGCTACCTCTCCCTGCACCAGTCTGCAGAGAGCCTAACTCTGAAGTGGACCCCCAACCAGCTCATGAATGGGACTCTGGGGGACTCCGAGCTGGAAAAGAGGTGGGGGCTTTGGGACTCGCCGCAGGAGCCATGGAAGGGAGTGAGAGCTTGCCAGCAGGCGGGGGCATGGAGAGGCCCAGCCTGCTCCAAGAGGCAGGATCACACCTTACCCGATGCCAAGAATTGCAGAGAGAGGCTGCCTGGAGATATTCCCAAGCTCTCTAAGATCCAGCCAGTCCTGGACATTTAGAGGTTTTCCTGAGCCAAGCTCGAGGCATCTGAGGCGGCCAGGCTCTGTGCCATGAGGGCAGCACGGAGCCCAGAGGGACACGGCTGGCTGAGGTCACTTCTCGGCTGTGGTCTTCGTGTCTACAGGGTGGTTTCAGGGATGTTGGGGCCAGGAAGTGAGGAAGGCAGGTTGGCTGGTCTGGCGACACAGTGACACCAATTTGGTTCCTTTCCAGCGTTTACTGGGACTATGCCCTGGTTGTGCCCTTCAGTCAGATCGTCTGCATCCACTGCCACCAGCAAAGTGAGCCTCCCTTGTCCTGGGCACAGGGGTGGGGGAAGAGAGACTGCCTTCTCCCAGTCACACACTGTGCATGGCCTGTTGAATGTCTGTCCTCACTTGGTCACCCCCACACTCTAGCCCTACTGTCCTCCTACCCAGTCTGGAGGCATGGCCAGCCGTGCTGCAGCGGTGGCTGGGAGGTCTTGGAGGCCCAGCTTCGCTCACCCATGTTCATCCCCCTCCCCCAGAAAACGGTGGCACACTGGTACTGGTGAGCCAGGATGGCATCCAGAAGCCACCGCTGCACTTCCCGCAGGGAGGACACCTACTCTCCTTTCTGTCCTGCCTGGAGAATGGGCTTCTGCCTCGGGGACAGCTAGAGCCCCCACTCTGGACCCAGCAGGGGAAGGTACGCAGGGCTTGCGAGGCTCTGGGTGAAGGGATGTGTGAGGTGAGTTCTCTGCCCACCTCCCTTCCTGTCCCCACACAGAGTTCCTAGGAGCAGCCTTGGGTGGGACCCTGGGATGGACTCTGCCCTGCACAGGCTAACTACCCACCTCTTCCTCCCCAGGGGAAGGTGTTCCCCAAGCTGCGGAAACGTGGCAGCGCGCGGTCCGTAGATGTGGACGAGATGGGCACAGGCTGGGCCACAGACTACGTGTTCCGGATCATTTACCCTGGTCACAGGCATGAGCACAGTGAGTGTCCCATACTTCCGCTGTGGAGAGAGAACGATGCTTCGGGGGTGGGGGAGAACAGCATCACCCAGGAGGGGCAGCAGGCAAGGTCCACTGACCAGGCCGGGTTCAGGACTTAGCCTCTCATTGGACCTTTTTCTGCAGATCATCCCCCTGAGAATTTGCTTCTCTTCTACCTGCTGTCTTTCCCTTCCCTTGTCACCCCAAGACTCTTGGCTCAACTGACCCAGGTGTCTCTACACAATATTCTCTTAGTCATCCATTCACACCCTGCCCCGGGGTTGGGGGGAATGTGGTGAGACTAGATAGAGAGGGTGGCGGACTCTCCATTTCACCGCGGCCCGCTGCCTGACCGCCACACGGTGGTCTGGGTGCGGGTCAGTGCTTCTTTGGGGATGGTGCACATTGTTCACTGACTCCACTAGAGCCAGAGCCCTCCTCACACCAGCTGCTGATGAGAGGAGCCGCAACGGGAATAGGGGTGCATCTGAAGAGGGTGAGGATTTCAGCTGGGGGGGCTGGAGCTGAAAGTGGCTTGCCACTTGTGGGTCCTGTCCCCCTGGACATACCTCTCTGGATCCTAATAGACGTCCACCAAGCCCAGAGTTCCCCTTCTGGTCAGAGTGCTCTGCTCCCCACAGGTTTCTCCGGGCCAGACTCGCTGATCTCGGGAAGAAGGTCAGGGACTTTGCCAGCCCGGAGCATTTGCCAGACCACCTGCTTCCTAAATTTCCTAACTTGTGCCAACAAGTTGTCAACAAGTTGTCTCTGTATTAACAGACAGATTACCCAGACTGTAAACACACAGCCGCAGCACAAGGAGTCCCAACAGGCTTGAAGGGCGAAGATGTGGGGATCCCCTTCCCCCGATGTGCCTGACTAGGAGACACATTTGCCAGAGCGTGTTTGCACACCTGGCATTTAATCTCGGCCCGTCGCTCGGCTTAGGTTGTCCAGGCTGCACTTCCGCTTTTAAGCCTTGGCATTTCCCATTTCTGGTCACTTCATTTCCCTGGAGGGCAAGCGCGTGCCAAGGCGCTGAAACCCAGCGGGTGACTCAGGCTCCTCGAGAGCAGCTCTGGGAAATCCTTGGAGGAGAAGTTGGGATTTATAGTCTGAAGGGGGAGCTTTGGGGTAATCTTCCGATTTGGCCCAGCCTGACCATGACACAAGCTGAAGGGTGCTCACGATCCCGAGCTGCCGGCCTGTCCCAACTGGTCCCCGTCTTTCACTGCCCTGGCTCCCCCATCAGTTCTCTCTTCTCTGTTCTTCCTAGAGAGGGCCTTCTTCAAAAAGTGGAGCTCTGTAGCTGCTGCCGTCCCCCCACTTCCTTCCATACTCTCCCCAGTAAATCAAAGGACTCTCAGGTCCCCTCTCTTCCATCCCTGCAGGCTCAGGGTGACCCGGACTCCATTCTGCTCCCCAGGAGGACGGATCCGGTCCCTCCTGCCCCAGGACCAGGGTCCTTATGCTTTGCTCTCTCGCTGTTCTCTTTGAGCAGTCACTATTAACTACCACCACCTAGCGGCCAGCCGCGCGGCCTCGGTGGACGATGATGAGGAAGAGGAGGATAAACTACACGCGATGCTCTCAATGATCTGCTCGCGGAACCTCACAGCTCCCAATCCGATGAAAGGTTTTTATCCCTCCCTTCCTCCCTGACCTTCCCCTTCCCTCTGCCCCACCCCCTGGGCCCACCGGCCACCCACCGCAGGGGCTCGATCTGCAGTGTTGGCATTATGGGACCTGCACCCTGGGTGGTTCCCTTCCGTCAGGAGGCAGATCTGGGAGGGTAGAAGGAGGATGTGCTGCAAGAAGAGGGGACCAAGCAAAAGGCAGTTGGCTCTGGGCTCTGTGAGGACAGGGAGGAGGTCCCGCGGTGAGAAGGCCTGATGACCTGGTTGTCCCTTGGAAACCCTGATTGGCTGTCTGAGCCCTGTTCCCACTCTTGGACAAACCCAAGACAGTGTCTCTCTTTCTCTCCTGCTGGCTGGGGAGACTGGCCTCTGGGCCCTGTGCCTCGGACTCCTAACTCAACGGAAATAGGACAGAAGTACCAGGCCCCTCCTGGGCAGAGGGAGGGGCTGGATAGCACCTGCAGACAGGAGCCACCAGGGGGTCAGGTGAGGGGTGGGGCCATCCTGGCAGGAGACCCAGGGCTTTGTTTACCCAGCAGGCCTGGGTGTTCCAGCAGGCACTGCCTGGTGCTTTAGTATGAAGTCTAGAGTCTAAGTCAGGTATGTTCCACCCTCACAGACCTCAGATTGCACAGCTGCAGAGGTCCCTTCATGGATAATGACTCAGCACAGTGCTCACAGCCACTCTGTCCATTGCCCATCTTAGCACAGAGCTCGGCTGGTGGAGAGGGAACCCCACTCTCTTTCTGGAGTGTGATCATCAGCCAGGGAACCTGTGCGGGCTAAGCCAGGGTGCTCAAGGGATATTGGTTATGAAGGACCAGCTCTCTTGGAGTTTAGGGGAACTTCCCCATCGCCGTGCCAATAGTAAATCTCCCCATCCCTGGGCAACCAAGTCCGTGGCCTAGTACACCCTCAGCACACCCTGCCAGCTGCCCTTTACTCACCACGTGCCTGCCTTCATGTCTATCCTCCCTCCCAGCCATTCCCGTGGGACCTGCAGGCCAGTCTGGGTGGGAACACAGGGGAGCCTCACTTGTGATGTTTATTGCCTGCACATGGCTGCCATCTGGTTCCTTACAAGCCTGGGCTTGGGGCTGATGCTAATTACAGGATGACTGACTTTAAACAGTGTGGGAAGGGTGAGTTAGGAGAGCCCGGGCTGGCCCTTCTTACCCCCAGGAACTGGCTGGGGACAGGATGAGGGGGGTCCCGGCCAAGACCCTGTCTTAGAAGACTTGGTGGTAGGAAGTCCGTTCCTGACTAGTCTTCATGCTGAGGCCTCCAGGGTCAGAGAAACCTTCAGGCCCACAGGGTGCAGAGGCCTCAGGGCCTATGTGGGCATTCTCTTGGGGAACTAGGGCCAGCCTACCCTGTATACCAATATGCAGCCCCTGGGACTCTAAGACTTGGGAAAGGGGAGGAGGCATGAGAGCAGAGTCCGCAGGTGGCTGGGGAGATGGTGTGGGAGCCCCCCTCCACTCCATTCCATAATGACAACACTGTTGAGTCCATCCTGCTAGCCGTTGCTTTTCAGGCCTGCAACATGCTTGACTTGTGCATGTGAATCAAGTGGCGGGTGTCCAGACCCTCCTCCCCTCCCCCTCCCCCCTTCTCCTGCTGCCTCCCCACAGAGCAGAGATGCTGTTCACTCTAATTCTGCTCCAGGCCAGGCACCTTTCACTCGGAGTCTTAGGGGCTGTGGGGTTCACCCACCCTGATTGTTTTACTTCAGACTTCCCTCAAGCTCAGAGGAGAGAGTCAGAGTCAAAGCTGACCCAGCAGCGCCCCCGCCCCGCCTGCTGCCCCTTGCCCAGTCACTCCAGAGCTCCAGCTGTCTGCACTGGGTTAATTCAGAGACGCATATTCAATGCTGGCTGGTTCAGCTCCTTCCTGGAGAATTAAGGTGAAGAGCATTGACCCAGGAGACTTGCCCTGGCTGAGCCCTGCTTTCTGGGCATGAGCTCGTTTCCCTGTGTGCCCACCCTCTGCCCTCTGCACCTGTTGCCCCCACTGCCTGCCCGCCTGCTGCCTGCTGCCTGCCTGGCTGGGCCTGCTCCCACCCCAGCTCCTCTCAAGACTGGCCTCTCTCCTGCCTGCTGTAGGGGCATGAGCTGGGCTCCTGCCCCACCCCACCTGCATCTGCCCGCCCCACTTCTTCCCAGAGTCTTCGGCAAGGCCTGCAACTGCTCACTCCCAGAGCCGCAGCCCCTCCACACCAAGTACGTTCCCTTAATTTGCCTCCTGGTGGAGCTGAAGGGCCAGATCTACAAAAATCCCACCAAGGGTCTGGGAAGAGATTCCCAGCCAACAAGGGGCAGCCCCTGAGGGGACTGGAGGGCTCAGCTCAGCCCCTCCCACCAAGCACCCCCAGAGCTGGAGTCTGGCTCCCACAGAAGCCAGGCCTCCGTCTGCTCCAGACTCAGCAGGCCAGGGCCCAGGAAGAAATACTGCTGGAAAGAATTCATCACACACACAGCTGCCTTTCCCTGCTCTTTACTCTTCTCTGTCCCTTCCTCCCTCCTAGTGCCATCTCCTAGTCCTTTCACTTCCTGCCCTCACTTTGCTTCATCTTTGTGGCTCCCTGGACCTGCTGGAGCCCCCCTGAGCAGCGCCTTGCCCCACGTGGGCCCAGAAGCTCTCAATGATCTTGAGTTCTGATTCCAGTCAGCTGGGCAGGCTGAAGGGCTCCATGTGCCTTTGGTGTAGATGTGTCCAAGGAGCTGTCTTCTGAGGCCGCACCTGGGGACATTGTTCCGGATGGTGGAACCCTCATCCCTGTGGCAATCTGGCAGCCCTGGGACTTTTGCCCTTCCTGTCAGCTCTCCTGTGTGTTTGTGGAGGCCACCACACTGAGTGCAGTCAGGTTAGGCGAGGATGGAGAACTCAGGAAGGACCACAGCAGCGGGCAGCAGGGTGCCTGGCCTGCGCCGAGAGCCCTGACCCTCAGGCACTGGCTACCAGGTTCTAGAACCCCCAGGGGTCCTCCAGGGCTCTGATCAGTGGAGACTCTGCTCCGAGTTCAAAGTTCCAGGTCCAGGCACCCGCCTGTGCCTCTCAGAGTTTGTCTAAGACCGTGGTCGGCAAACTGGCTCGCGAGCCACATGCGGCTCTTTGGCCCCTTGAGTGTGGCTCTTCCTAAACCTTAGGAGTACCCTAATTAAATTAATAACAATGTACCTACCTATATAATTTAAGTTTAAAAAACTTGGCTCTCAAAAGAAATTTCAGTCGTTGTACTGTTGATATTTGGCTCTGTTGACTAATGAGTTTGCTGACCACTGGTCTAAGAGGACCAGGCTGGAGCATCGGAAGCCATGCCAGCGGCAGCATTTTAGGGAGCTCGGGCTTTTGCTGTTCCTTCTCTTTCTTTCTCTGCCAGACTCTAGAAAAGCAAGTGTTTTCCATCACTCATAGCAAGATGGAGAGAACAGACACAACCATGCACAACTCAGTCAGAGTATTTTATCAGTGCAGAAAGGTTAGGCGGAGGCTGGGACGTGTCAGGCACCCTCCCTCTGACCATCGCCCTCTCTGGGTTCTGGACCAGGCAGACACTGCCCCTGTGGTTCTCCACCAGTGGGTGATTACATGCTGCAGCTCTGGGCACAGAGGTGGGCATGCTGCAAGGTGGCCGTTGGGGGGGAGGCCTGCCAGGGCCTGACCACGGCCCCCTTCCTGTCCTCAGATGCTGGTGACATGATCGAGATGCAGGGCTTTGGGCCCAGCCTGCCAGCCTGGCACATAGATCCCATGTGTAGCCAGGGCTCCTCCTGGTTCTCCTGCTCCTCCAGTAGCTCCCCATATGCAACTCCCAACCACTGCAGCTGTGTCCCCGACCGGTGAGTGGGCAGGGAGAGCACTTCCGTGTGAGTGTGTCCATCCATGTGTGTGCGCCAGTCTGTCCTTGGGGGCTGTGTCACTTGCCTGACAGGGTGGCCTCAAGTTGGTCAGACCTGGGTTTGAAGTTCATTCCTGCTGCCCATGTGACTGGCAAGTTATTGAGTCTCTATGAGTCTCTATGTTTCTGAGCCTCAGTTTCCTGATCTGTAAAATGGGGCTCATACCACCTGCCTCCTAAGGTCCTTGTGAGACTAAATGAGGTATATAACCATGGGAGTACCCAGAGCTGTGCCTGACACATAGGGGCTCAGGACTTGTGAGCTCCCCTTCCCAGTGTGGACACAGATCCTGTCATCAGGCTCTGTGTCCGGGGACACGCAGCAGACATCTGGGCACCGGCCATGTTCCAGGAATGGCATGGGAATGGTGTTTGAGTGCCAGCACTTGATGCTCTTGCCGGCTGCTTGATCGGACCTGTTGCTTCTTTTTACCTGCCACTCCTGATGACTCAGAGATGGTTCTCTCCATTTTTCACTTGAGGAAACCAAAATTCACTAACATGAGGTGAAGTTAGTTGCCCAAGCTCCCCTGGGGGGTTGGAGGCCAGGTTGGACCCTCAGCCGCTCCGACCAGGGTGCTGGCAGCAACAGGGAGCCCACTGACATGCTGCGGGGCTATGGGTCCTGCTCGCCGCACCACCACCACCCCGAGAGCCGCACCTGCTCCCCTCGGTGTCCTCACTTCTCACCCTCCCCCCAGCGCCAGAGCCACAGCCCTCTGAGCCAGGTTGATTCCACAGGTTGCCCCTCAGGCTACTGTGTGAGAGCATGAAGAGGCAGATCGTGTCCCGGGCCTTCTACGGCTGTGAGTTGGGGTGAGGTGGGGCCATGGGAGGCAGGGGCAGGGGGGGCGTCCTGGTCACGGCCTCCTGGCTCACCCCTCCACCCCCAGGGCTGGCATACTGCCGCCACCTGTCCACGGTGCGGACCCACCTGTCAGCGCTGGTGCATCACAACATCATCCCGCCCGCCCGCCCCCCAGGGGCCGCGGGGGGCCTCACCAAGGACGTGTGGAGCAAGTATCAGAAAGATGAAAAGGTGCACACTCTGGGGGCCGGGCCAGGGCCGGGTCAGGGGCGGAGGCGGGCAGTGGTGGGTGCAGAGTGTCTGGTCTGGGCGCAGCTGTCACAGGACCACTGGGCATTCAGGTGAATCACAGTCGTGGTCAGGCTGACAGGCCAAGACTGATGGCCTTGGAGTGGCCAGGCCATGGCGGAATCTCAGACAGCGGGGGCTGTGGGTTTCCCTGGGAAGGGCACTGGGCGGGGCGTCCGTTCTGTTTCCCCATTATCCCACAGCCTTGGGCAAATCTCTGCACCTCTCTGGGCTTCGCTTCTTCCCTGGAAGGAGGGGGGTGAAGTAGGTCCCAGCCAGCTCTGCTGTGGGGCGGGGGGATGCGACTGCCCAAAGCAGGGCCTCCCTGGGCTTCAGTGGTGACCCAGTCAGTTCCCAGCCCCAGCTCTCCCTGGGGTGGGTCACCCGGAGGGTGACTGCGGGGACTGCACAGTCTCCACTCCCTGGGTCCCTCAGAACTACAAGGAGCTGGAGCTGCTGCGGCAGGTTTACTACGGAGGCGTGGAGCACGACATCCGCAAGGACGTCTGGCCCTTTCTGCTTGGCCACTACAAGTTTGGCATGAGCAAGAAGGAGATGGAGCAGGTAAGGGGAGCCTTTCCCGTGGGTTAGGGGGATGGGGCGGGTTGGGCCAAGGGACCCATCCAAGCTCAGTGGAAAGAAACGTGGCAGGGGAGGGTTCACACAGACACCCCACTGTCCTCGCTGCTGGGGCCCAGCCTCGTCTTCAGCTGTCCCAGCTCCTGCAGAGGAGGCCTGGGCCCCTCCCCCATGGTCACGGTGTGTCCGAGTCCAGGTGGACGCAGTGGTGGCAGCGAGGTACCAGCGGGTGCTGGCGGAGTGGAAGGCCTGCGAGGTGGTGGTGAGGCAGCGGGAGCGGGAGGCGCACCCAACCACACTCACCAAGTTCTCCTCGGGCAGCAGCATCGACAGCCATGTGCAGCGCCTCATCCACCGAGACTCCACCATTAGCAATGACGTGAGCCAGAGGGGACCTGGGAGGGGGGCGGGAGAGGGGTGGGGCGAGAGCCACCAGCGATTCACACGATTCACACGCAGGAGTCCTGAGCAGCAGCCCAGCCTCTAGTACTCGCTGCAGTGGAGCCCTCGGAGAAGGGCTTGATGTGTCTGTCTCATTTCCTTCCTCTGGGTGTTGCAGGGATAAAGTGAGATAGTGCGTGGTGATCGGTTTTAATGGACTAGGAGGGAAAGATGGATTTATGGGGATTAGGGAGCCCCCCCTGCTCGTAGTGAGGCCTCCAGGCTAAGAATAGGCAGCCCTGGGGTGTAGTCCCAGGGCCACTACTGACAAGATGAGTGACGTCTTCCCATCTCTGGGCCTCAGTGTCCCCTTTCAGCCCTTCTGCCCTTTGATGGTAGCAGCTTCCCTGAGAGCTGTTGCTAGAGGCAAGGGGAGCCCGTAGAGCGGTGCTATTGGTGTCCACTGGCAAGATCTCCCGCCTCTGGAGTCCGTCACCATCTCACAGAACTGACCGCGCAAAGGCAGTTCAGAGCCTGCCTGCTCTCGCGGCGTCACCCCCGCTTTAGGTGAACAGCCTAAACTGGCTGTGGGCCCGACAGGAGTGATGAGAAGTCTCGGGCTTAAGGACACTCATTTACTAACATATTTTTTTTCTTTAAAGTTGCTGCTTTGCATAGTGTATTCTAGCCACTTTACTAAATCTTTCCTAATAGTAACAGAAAACTCGAGCTGGAGCAAGACCGAACGAGACATAGCTCACTCTCCGTGTGCTTTGTTCTCACTCCCTGTTCGGGAGCCTGTTCTCTCTCTCTGGCTTTGGGCTCCCGAGTCGGTGCCAGGGCCCAGCCACTCAGCTCACAGACAGCAGTGGCCGCGCGGGCCCTGCTCTGGGCTCCGATTGCCTCGGCCTCATGGCCTTACCTGATACTAACCCAACGACACTTCATGCTTCTCGCCCAAAGTGAAAACTCCTTTTAGCATCCCTTTCCCTACATAGTCCAAATAGGAAAAAAGAAAAGTAAAGCCAGTCTCTCTATGTCTCTCTTCTTTTCCCTGTCCTGGTCCATGGGGAGGCCTGTTCCCAACCAGCACAATACGTTTCCTTTCACTCCTGACCTCTCCTCAGCTTATCTGAGGCCAGTGTAACTGGTCAGGCCCTTGCTAGAAAAGGTCCCTGCCTTGTTGGTTTTCCTAACGCCTCCAGGCTGCCCCCTCCCCCTATACACACACACACCAGCTCTCCTGACCTGAGGCAGCCCGTGACTTCAGGTGTTTGTAGAATGACACCACTCACACCGCCATCAAGTACCACTGAGTGTCCAGGCTGGATCCAGTCTCCCTTCTTCCCTGCAGCAGCCACAGGAGGCCTGGGGTGTTCCCCTTCTTCGCATGCCCCAGGAAGAAGCTGAGGAAGGGACTGGATAGGGCTGAAGTCTTCATGTTGGCCTGGAACCTCATTTCTCCACCTGGCCAGCTGGGTCAGAAGGGGAGGCAGTGCTGGAGGCCGTGGGGTGGAGTAGGAGGTGTGAAGAGAATTCTCCCTCCCTCTCGCTTATTCTGACCCCAGGAAGGAGACACTGAGCCGAGGGAAGGGGCTGGGGTGCAGGTATGAGCCCCACCATCTGTTCTCCCCACCAGGTGTTTATCTCTGTGGATGACCTGGAGCCCCCGAAGCCCCCAGGCACGGAGGAGTGCAGACCAGAGCCCGAGGAGGAACCCGGCGCAGGGCCCCCGGGCACCGCCCTGGTGGAGCAGCAGCAGTCAGTGGAGTTTGATTCTCCAGACTCAGGACTGCCTTCCTCTCGCAATTATTCCGTGGCCTCAGGCATCCAGTCGAGCATAGATGAGGGGCCGAGTGTGGGCTTCGAGGAGGACTGCGGTGGGGAGGAAGGCTCCGACGGGCCGGAATCTGCAGTCCACGCTTTCTCCGAGCCCCAAGATCCCAGCCAGGAGAAGGCCTCTCGGGCCGGCGAGCTGGAGGCAGGGGAAGAGCTGGCGGCGGTGTGCGCTGCTGCCTACACTGTATGTGGACAGTCCCGGGCACTGTTCTCAGCTGGCCCCAGAGCCCCCCTGCCATCCCAAGGCTTGGGGGCGGGCTGGCGGGTGGAAGGTGGGGTGCCTATCTTGGAGGGCCTGGAGCCCCTCTCTCAGCGCCCCAGGGGACTCTGTTCGCTGAGTCCCTGGCTCCCTGCCTTTCCTGCTTTCCTTGTGGGCATCACCTCAGGCCCCAGCTTACCCTGAGGGCCTTCCACTCTTTCAGATAGAACTGCTGGACACCGTGGCCTTAAACCTGCACCGCATAGACAAGGACGTGCAACGATGTGACCGCAACTACTGGTACTTCACACCCCCCAACCTCGAGAGGCTCAGAGACATCATGTGCAGGTGCCATTGTCGGGCAAGGCTCAGGGTGGGCGGCGGGGACCCCGCTCAGTGAGGTTAGGTCAGCAGTGCCCTGCCCCCTCGCTGCACCAGAATCGCACTGGACTCCCTCTGGGGGGAACACCTCCTTCTGCAGTGCCCCTGCCCCGCCCTCTTCATCACAGGTTTTTCAGGAAGCCTTCCTGTTCTGCCTCACTCCGGGGCTCCCCCGCCCGCCCCAGCCTTGTCTCTGTCCCTGACCCCCTGCGTGCCTTGAAGACAGGGCTAGTTGTTCACTATGGTACTCCCAGTGCTTAGGGCCCCGGAAGGCTGACTTCTGGGTAGCAGGCTACTCTAAGCCCCATCTCCCTGGGGATCCCTGAGGGGATGGGGACTGGCACACACCTGCAGCGACCCTGTCCCTGGGATTCCAGCTACGTGTGGGAACACCTGGACGTGGGCTACGTGCAGGGCATGTGTGATCTGCTGGCGCCGCTCCTCGTCATCCTTGATAATGGTGAGGGATAGGGCCCGCTCCTCGTCATCCTTGATAATGGTGAGGGATAGGGCCGGGGAAGGGGGAGTTCCCACAGTGGCATGCGCCTCAGGCATGGGGGCGGGGTTGACATAAGCTGGAGAAGGAAAGAAGACTGCCAGGTCTAGACGGGTAGGAATATTAGCCAGCCCAGTCCTCTGGGCCACAGGCACCCCCTGTGAAGTGAGGTGTTAGGGTCTCCTGCCCTGTGGCCTCATTCCTGTCTCCCCTCAGATCAGCTGACCTACAGCTGTTTCAGCCACCTCATGAAGAGGATGAGCCAGAACTTCCCCAATGGGGGCGCCATGGACACCCACTTTGCTAACATGCGCTCCCTCATCCAGGTGAGGACTATAGCTGCTCCTGGGCACGTGACCAGGCACCACTGGGCTTGTCCGTCTTCCACAAGCAGGCCAGGGAGTGGTCCAAAAATTTCTTTTATATATAAGCTTAATTTCTTTCATTAAAAAAAACCACACACACACACATTTTCCCCCCAATTAATGGTTGAAATAGAAGCTCACAGTAGTTAATGTGGGCTTCTATTCCTGGCTCTGGTGTTCCAGGCTGGGAAGCCCCACGTGGGGCTGAGACCCCATGCTTCCCAGCTTCTTTCTGCAGCTGAGATATCCCTTCAGAGTCTCAGCCACCACACGTGGGAGCAGGGCCAGCCCTTTTCACGTCTCTGCCCTTCCTTCCTACCAGTCTCCTGTGGCTTCTTCTGTCACTCCTTGGTAATAAGACTTCTGTTCATTTGGTTATTCAGATTGTTTTATAATTTAGTTGTAATTCCAGCTGGGACCTGGGAGGAGGTGAGCATAACTTCCACCTACTCTGCTGCCATCTTGGATCCCCCTTGACATTCAATATTATATTAGTTTCAGGTGTACGGCGTAGTGGTTAGACACATTCCTAACTTATGAGGCATGGTGATGCCCCCATAAGGCTGGCACCCACCTGGCACCATACGTGGTTATTACAGTGTTACCGACCATATTCCCTGTGCTGTAGTTTACATCCTCGTGACTGTTTGGTTACTACCAATTTGTACCTCTTAATCCCTTCACCTTTTCCACCCAGCCCCCCACCCCTCCCATCTGGCAACCATCAGTTTGTTCTCCGTATCTATGAGTTTGTTTCTGAAAACACATTGTTTTCACTGTTAAAAATGGAGAGGAATGTCAATATGTGAATGCTTGTGCTCATGAAAATTCTGGTGAATAGTATGGTTGATGAAGTCAAACACCCAGAGCCCTGGCTCAGTTGTTGGAGCATTGTACACCAAAAGGTTGCAGATTGGAATCCCAGTCAGGACACATGCCTAGATTGAGGGTTCAATCCCTGGTCGGTGTGCATACAGGAGGTAACCAATCAATTTACCATCTCTCACATTGATGTTTCTCTCTCTCTCTCTCTCTCTCTAAAAAATCAATAAACATATCCTTGGGTAAGGATAAAAAAAAAGAAAGAAAAAAAAAAGAAAGAAAGAAAGAAAAATGGTATAACTCCGAAAAGACTACAAACCCAGAGAGATGGTGGGGCCGCAGAGTGCACCCTAAGAGATGAGAGAGGGCTCGAGCACAGCGCCAGGCGCCACAGCAGAAGGGGCCTGGTGGAGGGTGGGGCCAGCAGGGAAGAGGCACATAGGCTCAGTCCTTCTCTCTTTTCTCACTCACACAAGATCCTGGACTCAGAGCTGTTTGAACTGATGCATCAGAATGGAGACTACACCCATTTCTACTTCTGTTACCGCTGGTTCCTGCTGGATTTTAAGAGAGGTAAGAGGAGGGTTGGATGGCAGGCCTAGGGTCAGGGGTCTGGGTGACCCTTTTGCCCCAAAGTCATTGGTTCTGGACCCTAACTGAACTTTGGAACCACTTGGGGAACTTTTTATTTTTATTTTTTAATATATTTATTGATTTCAGAGAGGAAGGGGGAAGGAAAGAGAGATAGAAACATCAATGATGAGAAAATCATTGATCGGCTGCCTCCTGCATGCCCCATGGGGGTTGAGCCCATAACCCAGGCATGTGCCCTTGGCCGGAATCGAACCTGGGACCTCTCAGTCCGCAGGCTGACACTGTATCCACTGAGCCAAGCTGGTTAGGGCAACCTGGGGAACTTTTTAGAAACACCAATGCTCTAGGCCAGTGGTCGGCAAACTCATTAGTCAACAGAGCCAAATATCAACAGTACAACGATTGAAGTTTCTTTTGAGAGCCAAATTTTTTAAACTTAAACTATATAGGTAGGTACATTGTTATTAACTTAATTAGGGTCCTCCTAAGGCTTAGGAAGAGCCACACTCAAGGGGCCAAAAAGCCTCATGTGACTCGCGAGCCACAGTTTGCCGACCACGGCTCTAGGCTCTCCCGGGCCTCAGACTACTAGTGTGGCTGGCTGCCTGGGCATCGAGATTTTAAAAGCTCTGTAGGTGACTCCAAAGTGAAGACGGTGGAAAATCGCCCTCAGGCAATGGCTTTTGGTACTGTTTCCCAACCACATCCCCTCTGTGCACCAAGGTTTCTAAAAGCAGAGCTGCTTTAGCTGAAGAGAGTAGAGTCTACAGGGGCCTCATCTGCAGGAATTACCAAGGAGAAGGGCAGGGTCTTGGCCTGATGCACGGAGCCCACCCCCTCTTGGACCCGGCTGCGTAATGGAGAGAACCCCAGAACTTTGGCCCCTGGAGCTCTGTCTCCATACGTGGCCCCATTGGAAGCCGTGGGTGGCCAGACTCAGCCTTAGTCCTTTTTGTCCCCAGAGCTGCTATATGAGGATGTGTTTGCGGTGTGGGAGGTGATCTGGGCGGCCCAGCACATCTCATCAGAGCACTTTGTCCTATTCATTGCCCTGGCCCTGGTGGAGGCCTACCGTGAGATTATCCGTGACAACAACATGGACTTCACCGACATCATCAAGTTCTTCAATGGTAGGAGCTTGTCCAGCCATCTGGCTGTCCCCAACAAGGGGATAGGGGCCTCCACTCCTGGCCTGGGCAGGGTTGGAGAGGCTCAGAAATACCGGGTCCCCTCCCCATACACAGATGTCAGGAGTCCAGCAGGTGGAAATGGAGTAGGGTGGGCAGCCATAGGGCTCCTCCCAGACTCTTGCCCTCGCTCCTGCATCCCCACAGTTACCCATGTTTCCTCCAGAACGAGCTGAGCATCATGATGCCCAGGAGATCCTGCGGATTGCCCGGGACCTCGTCCACAAGGTGCAGATGCTCATAGAGAACAAGTGAGGGCCAGGAGGCAGCAGCCAGCCGGAGCCTCGGCTCCTGGCCCTGGGCTCCGCGGGGAGAGGTGCAGGGCGCACAGCAGAGACTGCCCCCCCTCTCAGCCAACCCTGCCTGCCCAGCTGTGTTCCTAACAAAGTGTGAGCCTGGGATCTGACTCCGGGCAGTTCTGGCCCTGAAGGGCAAGTCAGGGGCCAGGGTACCCTCAGGTCAGGGCCAGGAGGGGAAGGGGCAGCCTCAGGGAGCAGCTGACCTGGGGAACACCTACTCTGCTCCCTTCTCAAACACCTGGAAATAGCCCCACTGCCCCTACAGCCTCAGCCTGAGTGCCCCATGCTCTCTCCTGGGTCAGCCTGGGGCCCTGTCGAGTCACCAGGGCTATAGTTGCCTGGGCCCCACTGGTGAGGGTTGTATGAGGCCAGGGGACTCTGTTATATTTCTTCTGAGAGTCCCTTTGTAGGCCCAGTGCATGTGTGTGCACCAGTCCCAGTCAGGGCAGCCAGAATGGCTTCGAGTTTGGGCGTGTTTCCTGGGCCACCTTCCAGGTCCTCCTCTGAGACTGGGCAGAGCAGCCCACCTCAGCAGCACTGCCACTGCCTTCGGCCACCTGAGGTGACCCCATGCCCTCCCCAGCCCGTACAGTGCACCCACGTGTATCTGTACAGTCTCACTCCTGCCACCTCGCTCTTGCTTTATGCATTAGATGCATCCCTGAAAACTGTATACACGACACTTTGCCAGCTGGAGGATCTGGAATGTGGTTGGAGCACTTTCTCTCAAGAGGTATCCCAGGTGATTCCTTAGGGAGGGGATCCTGTCACAGCCTCCTCTCAAAGGTGGCCCCAAAACTTGGGGGCAGCCCATCGTCTATCCCAGGCATCGCTGAGTCCTAAGGCTGGAAGGAGGAGGTGCCTGGGTCTCTCTTGTTTGTTGCTGGTGAAAAGCAAGGTTAGCTCTGCCTTCCACATGCTTCTCAGGATGTCCAGAGGCCTAAGGACCCAGAAGCCCCCATGGGAGAGCCTCACTCATGAGGGGAGGTGCCATGCTGCTTGTTCTGCCATCCCCGCCCCCAGCCCCCAACACATGCAGGCTGGGCCTTGCCCCAGGCCCAGGAGGCTACTCTGCCACAGGGGCTGGGGCCTGCCCAGCAACCACTAAGGGCTGGAGACTTCCTGCATTTGAGAAACAGAAAAGGACCCAGCAGCTTTTCTGCATCCAGCACAGCCCACCCCCCCTCCCAGTCCACCCCTGTCCCAGGCACTGCACGGCCTGTTTGGGGGCCAGCCCGCCCCATTGCCCACTCTTGTCTGTGCGTCCTCAGCCTACACCAAGCACGGTGGCCATTGTGTGCCTGCCTTAGTGACTCAGTGGTTTGTGAGGAGCAGAGTGTGTATGATTTTTGGCTCAGAAACTATACTCTTCAGTGTAACAAACCAATAAACACAGCATTTGGCAATGCTCGAGGCTCTGGAGGCTGCTTGTGGGCTGGTGCTGGACAGCGAGTGACTGTGTGCGGGAATTCTGTCATCTCCACACTAGAACAGTAAGGAAGGCCAACCCCATGAGGCAAGGATGGCGAAAAGAGAGACCCAAATTTTCCAAAAGAGGGGGACCTCGGCGATGGGCTGGCTGGGGTGGGGATAATAGGTAGAACCAAAGAGAACCCCGAGAGCCAGCAGTCCCATCTCAGACTGACCAACGGCCTCTGCATCCCCTGGATTCGTGTAGGTCCTTGTCCCACGCCTTCGCAGCCTGACCTCCTGAATAGCTACAATGATAAGCTGGAGCCTCCCAGCCCCTCCAGCCAACAGGGAAAGACCCCGCTCACTGAGCACTGTCTCTGGGATGTCTGCTTCAAACTTAGGGGGAGCCTCAAGAGAAGTCAAACCTGCTGAGTGGAAAGGGCCCCTGACTACGCCCTGAGTGGGCTCCTGGAACTAGAAGGTTGGGTCAGCTGAAGGGAATGTGTGTGTGGAGAGGAGGAGCAGGGAGTGTGAGGAGAGCAGACATCATCCCTCCAACTCTGTGAGGAAGACTGCCTCTTTCACAGAGCGAGCAGGGCTGCTAAATGGAAGCTCCTGGATGCTTACTTGGGATTTTTGTTTCCCGTTGCTCTGGCCATAGGCCCCTCTCTTGCAGGCTCCAGCTGAGCTGGGGTGGGAGTCTGTGCTTTGAGTGCAGGGAGGGGAGTTTCTGCCAACCCTTATGATATAGTGATAGCTCTCAGATGATACTGGGTCATCATTACCAGGGGCAGTCTTCATCTCTGTCCCAGTGCTGGGCATGGCGTCTGACACTGAGAGGGCGCGCAGGAAATGATTAAGTTTAAGGGTCGGCCTTCCCTATCAGTGGTTCTCAACCTTCTGGCCCTTTAAATACAGTTCCTCATGTTGTGACCCAACCACAGAATTATTTTCGTTGCTACTTCATCACTGTCATGTTGCTACTGTTATGGATCGTAACGTAAATATCTGATATGCAGGATGGTCTTAGACGACCCCTGTGAAAGGGTCATTCGACCGCCAAAGGGGTGGCGACCCATGGGTTGAGAACCGCTGCCTTAATTGAAGGCACCCATCTCTCCCTGGAGCTACCAGTAGAGGGAGCCAGCATCTCACAAGTGAAAAGGGCTGGAGGAATTGTGGGGCACTGTCTGGCCTTTTGAGGCTGGCTTTTCTTCAACTAATGGAACCCCAATACATTAGTGGCCACCACTACCTTCCCTGAGGATGACAGCACACACACAGGCACACACACACACACACACACACACACACACACACCCGCGCGCACACGCCTCCTACATCCCTGTACTCACCCTCCAAAGAGAAACTGAGTCAGTACCCCAGGCTGGCGCTGGGAGTGGGGCAGGTGTCAGGGAGTTAAGCAAGGCAGGATGAAGCGGCCTGCCTGGTCTGTAGTTAGGCCCAGCTAATTGCTCCCTCACCTCCCCACTTCTTCCTGAGACAGCCTGCCAAAGGGCCGGTTTCCCCTAAACTGGGAAGATGTAGTCACAGGGACAAAGATTTTCCAAAACCTGGTTTGCAGGCCACCTTAGAACATGGTTTTGACCTCTTCCTCTTCTTGTTCCCTCCCCTGAAAGGACAGCCTCATGGACTCCCAGCTGACCTGTCCTAACCTCTACCCCATGAATGCTTCCCCTCCACACCTTCTTTTCCACTGGAACCTTCATGAGTTTAGGATCCCCCAGTTGTACAGCAGGCCCGGGCGGGATGGCACTGCTCAGGAAGAACCCGGGGCGAGTAGAGGTCTGACTGAAGCTACACAAGGTCCAGGCTAGCTGTGTCTCGAACGTCACTTAGCCATCTCAAACCTGTTACTTTTTCTGCCAGAATGGGGCTAGTTCTTGGCTTTACTTCACTGTTGTTATGAGATAAAACAAGATAGTGTTTGTAAAATGGTTTGAGGAAGTACTGTAAAAGCATAAGGAAGACCAGAACTGCAGCTCTGGGAGCTTGATGATTCGACACCGGGATCAGAACGGGAAGGTCTCTAACCTTCTTCTAAAATTGACCAGCACCGAAGCTGCTTGAGGACCATCCCCCAAACACCAACAGGGAAAGGGACCTGCTGCTTCTTGCTGGAGGTCTCTGCCTCCTTTTGCAACAAAAGGACCCAGATGCTGCGGGCTGGCAGCTCCATCTCAGGTTGCAGTGCAGGTTTATTTCAATTTTATATTTTATTCCAGGCAAGTGCTTATTACATGGATAGTATTCATGTCTCAATACCTAAAGTCTTGGAGCATGAACAACCACTAGAATACAGTTCAATAGTAAAAATACAATATGTACAAAAGTAGGGTTTTTTGTAATTTTTTTTCCCACACAGCAGATGTATCCAAACACATAAAAATCTCTACAGTCTGTACTGGGGTCACTACAATTTATATTTCAGGAAACAGAGACACAGTGACCGAGTCCTCACTGTAAACAAGGGCCACCTCTTTGGGGGATGGGGGTGGGATCCTGGGATGGGGGAGCAGCAGCTGTTCCTGGAGAGAGCAGGGGTTCTGGTGACCCCCGCCCCCGTTTCCCTCCAGGCATTCCCTGCCCTTCTTTGCCCCCCCCCCCCCAAGGAACCAACCTCCCCCGCTCCCCGAGGTAAAGATTCCCAGCCAGTGAGCCACTCTGAACATCAAAAAGTAAAACACGCATGAGAGGTAAGATGTGTGTGTGCGCACGTCCCCCAGGCTGGAATGGCTAGGGAGGGAGGGGGGGGGGGGCAGGGCAGGCGGTCCCACAGGGTGAGGACAGATGTGGTCCTGATAGCTCTCAGAAGGGAGATGCCCAAAGGGCTGGGCGGCTGCCCTCTCGGGCACAGAGTCACAGCATTCACAAACAACAAGAACAGCAACACCCATCGTCACCAGTCTGGACATAGTCATTCGGCACTAGATTCAGAGCCCCCACTGCTGGGGACGGAGAGGGGCACGGGCAGCGGGCGGATGAGGTATCTGTGCAGGCCCGAGGGGCGACTGGCCGACACAAGTTTTAACTGGACCAGCCTCAGGATGTAGGGAGGTGAACAGAGCTGAGGAGAGGCGGTTCGCCCATGTTTTGGACTCTTCCCTGGGCACCAGGCCTGCCCTTCTCCCTGTTCTTCCCATTGTAATCCCATCGGGAGTGGGACTGGCTCCAGAGGACCCGGGTGGTGCTAGCGGCTGCAGGTGCAGGAAGGCAGCAAGCTTGTGAGGTGGGAGCGCTGCGTGGGCTGGGGGCAGAACGGGACTCTCTCCTGGAGGCCTCTAAGGCATCTGAAAGGCCTTCCCTTTCCCCACCCCCAGGAGAGACAGGAGAAAGTCCCCTGGGAGGTCTCCAGGACCAGGGAGGAACTGCAAGGGAGTTCTTAGGCATATAAATCCATTCAAGACCTCTGTGGGGGCCACTCCAGAGGATCCTGGGCCCCAACCTGTCAGTGCAAACTTCACACCTAGGGACACTCTCGTCCTCTCTCCCCACTGAAAGGCCTGTGTGTCCAGGTGGGGAGCCGAGTGTACCCGCGTGTGTAATGGTGTGTCTGACACAAGGCCACGTGTAATAAACACCTACATAAAAAGAGACCCGCCCAGCCGGAGTGGCTCAGTGGTTGAGCGTCGACCTATGAACCAGGTCATGGTTCGATTCCCAGTCAGGGCACATGCCTGGGTTGGGGCTCAATCCCCAGTGGGGGGTATGCAGGAGGCAGCCAATCAATGATTCTCTCTCATCATTGATGTTTCTGTCTCTCCCTCCCTCTCCAAAATCAATAAAAAATATATTAAAAAAATTAAAAAAGTCGAAGTCTGCCAAGGCGGAGGCAGGGAAAACAGCATCCCCTACACACCAGCTCCCCTCACTCCTCTCCACCCCAAGCTCAGCCCTGCCCTTGGCCCAACTAAGGACCTTTCCTCAGAGGAAGGCAGTGGCACACAGACGCCCCCACCAGGGTTCACTCGGTAACGCCCACTGGAGAAAGGGCAACGTTCAGGGCGGAGATGACGCTAGAGACGGCGTTGTTGGGGCAGAAGCAGCAGCCCTGCAACAGCCCGGCTCTGCTCCCTCTGCAGGTCCTCAGGGCCTCCTTGGGAAAGGGCTGGGAGCCTAGAGGGACCCCTGCCTCAACAGTGTGGCTTCAGGCTCCTGGAACCCAGACCAGATGTTGGTCCATGTCTCCCAGGTGGCACCCCAGGTACCCATCCGCAGGGGAGTGCAGAGCACTAAGCAGAGGCCAGTGAATCGGGGGAGTGACAGCCTTCTGGAAGCCAAAAGCCACGCCTAGGGATGGGAACGGAGGTCCGGAGCAGCTCAGTCCAGACCCAGGCCGGGGATGGTGGGGACGATGGGACAGCCAAGCCCCTCCTTCCCCACCCCACCCTCAGCCTGCCCTCTTGAGGTCAGGAGCCCAGTAGTAAGGGGTGAAAGGCTCAGAAACTTGGCAACAGCTTGGGTTTGGTTTACTGTTGGTAGAAAATCCTAACTAGTTTCTGCTGTAAGCAATCACAGTGACTGCAACTGGGTTGGCGCGCCCCAGGCTGGGGCACCCACCTGTCTGCGTAGGACTCCAGACTAGCCACTTCCTAGGACTTCTCACCTGCACTCAGAATAGGGCCCACGGTGCTCCCCAACTTTCTGAGCCAAGTTGCTTCAGTTCAGTTCCTCCTCTTTCCCCTCCATAGGCCTGGGAGGAGAGGCTGAGGCTCGGGAGGGAGGGCCCAGATCCTCAGCCACATCACCAGACAGAGCAATAGCAGCAGCAGCACAGGAAGGCAGCAGGGGAGGGAGAAGGCAGAGAACATGACATCCACATCAAACTGTTTCAGGGGACAGGATGGGGAGGCAGGAACAGCACCAGGCTGAATCGGCAGCACGTCCACCAGAGCGTCTCTCATCACTTTATCAAGTCCTAGTGCAGTGAACTAACCCCCTGCCCTGTGCCCAGCTCCCTCCCCTGGCTCAGAGTCTCTGCACCCCCTTCCCCTAGGAGGCCTGGGGGTGGGTGTGGGTGGGGTGGGCCTGGGCCGGACTGGAATGTGTGGAGCTGGTGGGAGAGTGTGGGGACAGGTTCCCCTTCTTGCCCCCACTGGGGGCCTCTGAGTGGCCTCATCCTCAAGCCAGCTTGAGTGTGCTGACCGGGAAGGAGGGCATGGTGACCATGGTCACAGGGTTGAGCACTGTCTGGCCCACCAGCTGGGGGTGGTGCACCACCTGAGCCCCCACGGCTGGCTTTGCCATGACGGTGGTGGGGGGCCCCAGCCCAGCTGTGCCATTCACTTGCTGGTGCGAGAGGGTGTGGGCAATGTGGCTCACCGCCACGGGCTGGCTCACTGCCACAGGCTGTGGGTATAGGGGAAGCTGGGAGCCAAGGTGGGCCACGTGGTTAAGGGTGGCAGGGTGCACTGTGATGTGGCCAATAGGGGGTGTGGCAGGCGCCAGCTGCACAGCAGGGCTGGGGGCTGAGGGGGCAATGTGGGCGATGTGCTTGCCGCCTGGCCCCTGGAGAACGTGGTTCACAGTCTGGATGACTGAGGCGTGGGTGGTGGCTGTGTGGGCGATGACTGTGGAGCCTCCCCCAGATGCAGCCATCAAATGGGCTGGAGCTGGTACCAGCGTCTGGGCAGGGGCAGCTGGTGGGGGAGGAGGAGCCGGCAGAGGTGTCTTCTGCTGTGGTGGCGGCTGCTGCCCAGGCAGATGGGCCGGAGACAGGGCCACAGGCTGGGGGTGGGGGTGCGGGTGGGGAGGCAGAGGCACAGGGGCGGTGATGGGCGGCGGCTTCGGCAGCTCCGGGTGGGGGCGCTGGCTCTGCTTGGGCAGGCCCAGGCCGGCCTGGTCCTCCTCCATATCCTCATCTATGTTGTCCTCGCCCTCTGTGGGGACACGAGGACAAGGATAGGTCAGAGGGCTTGGAAACACAAGGCTGGAGAAACAGATGCCCCTGGGGCCTGGGGACATCGTGGGGCTGGGATGGGAGGGCATCTTTTCCAGCAGGCAAACGCCTGGCCAGGAAGCCTGACGTCTGAGAGGTGGGGCTCACCAGAGGCAGTAGAGGTGGAAGCCTGGTCGTCCTCGGGCTGGCCTGTTTGTCGGAGCACACGGTCAATCTCTAGCACATCCATCCACTGGCTCAGCTCATGTTTGAGCTCTGCTAACCGCTGCTGCGTGGCGATCTTCTCCCGCGCCAGGCGCTCCATCTCATGCTCATATTCCTTCTCCTTCCTCTTCAGGGACTGGAGAGCAGGGCAAGGAAAAGCAGGACACCCTGAGCAGCAACCTTGGGCCCACAGTACCGCGAACGTCCCCCCACAGCCACCCTTGCTTCCAGATCACCTGGTCCACAGGGGCAGGTCTGCAGTGACTAGGGGGCTGATGGGGGCTGCTGGAGACCACACCTGCCTCCTGGCCATCGCTCTGCCCAGTGAGGCCCAGCGTCCCAGGACTGTGGGCTCTCCGGCAGGTCTCATTAAGAGAAAGCACAGATCCAGGTCAGCGACTTCCCCTTCTCCACATCAACTCTGGTCTGAAGGGCTTCGCTGCCTCTAGCCCCATCCACCCTCCTGGCAGCACCTCCCTCCATTCTGCAAATGACAAAAGGTGTCACAGGTTTCTCAGGTATTGCCCAAGGCCTATACATACCACCATTCGTACCATTATGTCACCCACTGATGCCGGAAGCTACCCTCCTTGGAACCCATTCCCCATAGAACCCCAAATGGGTCAGCCCTTTTCTCCACCTCATCATTCACTAGTCTACTTCAGTGTTCTTAGAGGACGACCCACTAGGCTTTGTAAAACCCCCACATTTCTTGATCTGCCTCTATCTGGCCCCCAGCGGCTGCTGGCTCTGCACCTCCTCTCTGACCTCCTAGGTCACTCCCTGAGCCTCTGTTTTCACACTGCTCACAGCCCCTAGGCTCCCCAGGCTGCTGAACCACCCTCAGCCCTGGAATGTGCTCCTCCTCTAACACCTGTACCTGAGTTGCAATGACCAATGAGAAATGGCTCTCGGGGTGCTGGACAGCATCGCTGACTTGACTGAGCACCCCTGGAGAGGCTTCTGTCTTTCCCACAGGTTCCGGGTCACTCTCACCCGAGAAGCTGATGTCACCCACTTCGCTAAGAACACCCTTATGCAAGGTGCCAACTCTCCTTCAAGTTCTCCAGGGCCACAGGCGACCATATGCCCCTTAGGCTGACCCCTCACAAGGGGCTGGATGCCATCTCTCAGACTGTGGCACTGCTCCCTATCAGAAGGGTCTCCAGTTTCCCTTTGCATGAGGCTTAATAGCAGCTCCAAAATGCCAGCTCATGCCCTATTTCTTGGCTGCCTTCCACTCCAAGTCTCAGCCATCCTCCATGACCTCCTGCCTCTGAAACCATTAAACCAACCTCAGTTTCACAGGCCTCCCTGTGGCTGGCTTCTCCTCGGCCCACGCACGTCGTGACTGCTGGGTCAACCAGATGACAGACAATCCTGCCCTGCTACCTCCCGGGTCTCTTACCGGAACTGCTCCTGAGCTTCTAGCTTCCAAGCTTGCCAGTCACGGCCAGTGCAGAGCTCACTGGCTCTTCACGCACCAAACTCACTGCTTGGTCTTGGTTTGCCTCTCCCACCCTTATGTATCCTGATGCTCACATGTGGCTCCTCCCTTCTCAGTCTTATCTGCTTGGGCTCCAAGACCACACTTGGCCCCCACCTCCTCCACGGCCCTCAACAGTCCATCCTCCTGACAAACACCACATACCTGAGCATTTCACGAAACTGTCAGGGTACACTTAATCAGACAATGACTCATATCACAAAATATCTCATGTTTAGTTTTCCACCGCATACACTGTCCTGTCTGACCCTGTGAGAGAAGGCAAGGACTCTCTGTAGTTGGCGCATATCCCCTGGCTCCCCCAGTGGCAGGACAGAGCTGTGGACAGTGTCTCACTTGGCCCAGGGGAAGAATCTGAGGCTGGGAGTGTGTGAGCTCCCGCCTCTATCCTGCCTCTCCCTGCATCTCAGGAGAAGCACAGTCACCATTAGGTTTGAGTTTCTCGATTTCATTTCCCCAGGGCAGCCCCTCTTGACTGTTCACCTGCCCTCTTGGGCATAACAATGTCTTCAACTCCACACACCAACTAGGCCCAACTTCCCCACGTCCCCTCCTGCAGACCTTAATTCCTTACCGCACCAGTGAGATACCTCAAACCATTCGTGCCTGCAACACAAAGCCCAGACACAGCCATGCTCGGTAGCAGCCCGAAACCTGGTAGCTTTACACTTCCGTAGCCGTCCCAGGCCACACAGCCCCCTCTATCTTCTTGGCTTTGAGATGAACCTGCTTCTCCCCATATTTCTTCCAGAAAGACCCCTCCTCTTACCCACACCCACCTGTCTGGCTTCTCCCCCAAAGAGGCCACTGCTAGACATGACATCAGTTGAGGCCACATAAATGACAGGGCCTGTGGCGAGTCAACCCTCACTCCAACCTGGCTGCTGCGGGCTGCAAGTGGCCATCCTGAACTCTACCTGCTAGCACAGCGGTTCTCAACCTGTGGGTCGCGACCCCTTTGGCGGTTCGAACGACCCTTTCACAAGGGTCGCCTAAGACCATCCTGCATATCAGATATTTACATTATGATTCATAACAGTAGCAACATTACAGTTATGAAGTAGCAACGAAAATAATTTTATGGTTGAGTCACAACATGGGTCACAACCTTAAAGGGCCAGAAGGTTGAGAACCACTGTGCTAGCAGGAGAGGAAGACTTCTGGCGCAGGGAGAGAGAACATCCGGGGCCCACCCCTCCTTTTCTCACCCAGCCCAGTTCCCCACAGGCCTAGAAGCCCCTGAAAGTTTCCCCAGGGTATAACTTTAGTCTGCTTCATTTTAATATTTTTTAAATTGACTTCAGAGAGAGAGAGGGAGAGAGAGATAGAAACATCAATGATGAGAGAGAATAGATCAGTTGCCTCCTGCACACCCCCTACTGGGGATCGAGCCCGCAACCCAGGCATGTGCCCTGACCGGGAATCCAAACCTGTGACCTCCTGGTTCACGGGTTGAGGCTCAACCACTGAGCAACACCAGCTGGACACACATTGCTTCATTTTAAACCCATTTCCTTTCTAAGACTACCTGGATGTGTGGTTTGGTGCCTGCCTACTCCTCCTCTTCCTGTCTCTGTCCACTTAACTGTCATTTTTCAAATGCTTTAGCACCTCCAAGCTACTCCGGGTCTGGCCGGGGACTAATCTTCCCACAGCTTCCTGCCTCACACACCACCAGAGCCCTCGGTGTACACGCCCTACCTACGTGGCCTCTCCAGTTTTCTCTTTCAGCTCCCATTGCGCGCCCTGCTGCCTCCCTTCTCTGCATGGCAGTCCTCTCGCTGGAGAAACTTCGCCTGTTGTGCTCTCTGCCCTCTGCTTTGATTGGGTCAGCCTGAGACCCTCAGGTCTCAAGTCAAATGCTCTGTCCTCAGCAACAACTCCCCACCCAGAACAAATCCTGCAATCCTGTCCTTATTACGCCCTCCGGCACCGTCCTCTGGTTTATTTGTTTATAATCTAACACAAGACCCAACCCAGGAGGACAGAGACCCATACTTTTTTCTTTGCTCCCTGCTTTATCCTCAGAATCAGACACAGGACTGTCCGTAGTGCTTGAATGAATAAATAAAAGAGTGAAGTTGAGGGTTTAGACAGCCTTGTAAGTTTCTGCTTCCACTGTCAGCCCCGGGACAAGTATCTCTATGGACAGCCTGCACCCAACTTGCTTCCCATTCAGCCCAAGCAAACATCCCGATTTTGCTGGTTCCACTGAATCTCTACGATGTACTTTCAAATCCACACGTCATGGCAGCAAGACTGCCTTCCCTAAGTATGTGTTTATACAGAGGAACATTCCCATTTCTCAATAATTGCTATTAAGTTAATACTTATAGAAGGCCAATCCTCCTAACATTCCCATGATGGAGACACTTTTTTCCTATTTAGCGACACCAGAGTACAGGAGAAGAAACTGGTATTCACACACACACACACACACACACACACACACAGCATTTGATCAGGGATGTGCTCCCACGCTACATGGCTGACAGACCAGTATCTTACATTCAAGCCCAAATTCTGCAAAAACATCCCAGAAACAAGCCTCCGGGGTACGGTGCTAAAACCACGGCCCGGCCGCCTCCCTCCCCCTCCCGAGCCCATCCGGACGCAGGCGCCGCGCCCCGCCCCGCCAGGAGCACGCGCGCACCCACGCGGACCCGGCTTTGCTGTGTCACCCCGGGGCCCGCACCCCACCTCCGCGCGCCCAGGAGCTCCGCCCCCACCCGGCCCGACCAATCCGCGGGCCCGGCCCCGCCCTTCCCGGGCGCTGGGAAGCGCGCCAGCCCCGCCCCCTCGGCCGGAGAGCGGGCGGAAGGGCGCGCGCTGGTGGGAGGCAGCCGGCTGGGAGCAGCCGAGAGGCAGTGCGTCCGCCCTTCAGCGAGTCAGGCAGCGGTTACCTCAGGGCTGTGACCCCGCGGCCGCGGCCGAGGGAGGGGGTGCTCCCCCGCTGGCTTCCAGCCCAGCCCTCAGGCTTCCCGAGCCCGCCGACAGGGAGACCCGCGGCGCCTCCGCCCCCGCCCCGCGCCGGCAGGCAGCCCTAGGCCCTCCCACTCCCCCCACGGCCGACTCCGACTCCGACTCCGACTCCGTCTCCGCTGCAGCCGAGCGTGGCGGCCCGCCCCACCCCCACAGCCTCCTTCCCGGCACGCGAACCTACGGCCGGTTTCCAAGGAAACCGAAACTCGGGCCGTCATGGCAACAGCCTTATCTGACGGGCGCTCCCCCCACCCCCCCCCGTACTGAGGGCCAATGCCCGAAGGGAGGGGACACAGCCAGGAGGGCCGCCTGGAAAGGGCTTTTGAACAATCCAGACGAAAGGAAAGCGTCATTTTTAAGGATTCGGTGCCACAGGGGCTGTCACCGCATTTCCCAAACCCCAGGTTGAACGGGTCGTGCACCTTCGTGCACTGTTGACCTTAATCCTTCTGGGGTGAAAACGGGGGCTTCACCGGCGCGCCGCCGAGGGGAAGGAGCCACGCCCAGGGGACCCCACCCACCCACGAGGCTCGGGGGGAACCCGGTTCCGCCCCGGCACTGCGGACGGGCGGAGGCGCGGGCCGCCCCACGCCCTTCCCACCCCGGCGGCCGGCGGCGGCGGAGCGGGGCGGGCGCGGGTGAGTCACCGGCTCGAAGCCCGGCAGCTGGCGGGGCTCCGCGGGGCTGTCCGGCGGGCCGGCCTCCCTGCGCAGGCGCGCGCCCTCCCGCCCCCTCCCGGGCGGGGAGCCCCGCTGACGTCACCGGCCATGTGCTCAGCGCCCGCGTGGAGGCGGGCGGAGCTGCGCGAGGGGCGGAGGCCGCGGGGGGAGGAGGAAGCTGGCGCGGCGCGGGGCCGGCACCACCGCCCGCCGCTCCCCGCAGGCTCCCGCGCGCCGTACCTGGATGTACCGCAGCGCCGTCCGCAGCACGCTCAGATTCGAGGTCTTCTTGTCGTCCACGTTGGGGATGTTGCGCTTCAGGGTCTCAAAGCATTCCTTTAGATGGGCCCTCCTGCGGAGCGGAGGGGGGCGCCCGTCAGCCCGTGCGAGGGGCGTGGGGACACGGGGTGGGGGGGGTGAGGGGAGCTGGGGTCCAGGGGCAGAACCCGATCGCCCGCGCGCACACACCTGTTCTTCTCCAGTTTGTTGTGGACTTCTCTGGTTCCGATCCTGCAACCCAGACAGACCGGAGGCTCAGGGAGGAGGGCCCGATTAGGCGGCCTACCTGTCCGACCCCCAAGCCAAACGCCACGGGCTTTTCCTCCGGACTCTCTCTCTCTCTCAAAGCAGCAGGGCGAGATGTGGACCCCGTGGAGGGCGCATGTGTGCCCATAATTCACAACCCCTTCAACCCTCCATCCCGCCTGAGACACAAGGGCTCCTCGGACTCAAAGAGAGAGGGAGCCGACCCCAGCCCTCAGCCAGGGGACCCATAACGCGACACTCCTTCCAAAGGCTACAAATACCATCAGCTCCGGCCTCGGACGGAACCGGAGAGCAGAGGGCAATGCTCATTCCCCTGCCCGAGGGGCCGGCACAGCGAGACTGTGTGAAACTCAGGAGGGCGCTTTTTGGTCGGCGAGGTCGGGAGGGCATGGCTCTGAAGGGCAGGCTTGGGAGGGTGCTTTCCCTGGCACACAGCCCATGGGGGCGGGCAGTTCTCTCCATTCCGCCAGCCCCACCTCGGCCACACCTCACTTACCCCCCAGGCCTCTTCTTCTGTTCGCCGGACTTGACTTCTTCCGTCGGTGCCAACTTCAGGGTCCCAAGAGCGGGCGGGGGTGGCTGCTGGGGGGCCAGCTGTGGCTGGACTCCCGGGTGGGGCGCTATGGTCAGGATGGGTGTGGGGAGGGGCTGCAGAGGCTTGGGGCTGCCGGTGGGCTTGGAGTCCGGCAGTAGGGGCGCAGGGGTGGGCATCTGTGGCCTGGTGGGCAGGGGAGCAGGATCCTTAATGCTGAGTCCAGGGGTGTTAACCAGGGTGGGCTGGCGAGGTGCCAGGGGCAGAGGCTGGGCGGCAGGGGGCAGTGGTGGGGGCGGGGGCAGGGGCTGAGGGGAGTTGGTCACTACTGGAATAGGAATGACAGTCAGTGGGGTGGGGGTGGCAAGTGCGGGTGGGGGTGCCGGTGGGGGTGCTGGTGGCGACAGAGGCAGGGGTGGTGCCTCGATGCGGGGTTCCTCCACAGGCAGGGCATGGGCCAGCCTGGCCAGGCTGCTGGCCTTCTTCTGCTCCTGTTCCCGTTCCAAGCGAAGACGCTCCTGCTCCTCTACGCAGAGGGAACACAAGGATTGTCTCAGCGGGACCAACAGCCCTGGGCTCCAGCTTCACCTGTCCTTCACCAGCAGAGCATACCCCATCCCCTGACCTTGTGCCAGTCAGGGCCCAGTGACACCTCTGCTCAGCTTGAGATGCCACAAATATCCGTCCATACCCAGCTAGGCTCTGGGCTCAGTGCTGGTGGCACAGCAATGAGCAAATGAAACGCCCAGTCCCTGCCTTTGGGGAGTCCCAGGCCTGGAGGGTGGCGGAAGGGACAAGTAACGGGATAATAATCCCGGCTAGGAGAGCAGACAGGCCTTGGCGGAGTGGGAGGCGTCAGAGAGGATGCTGAAGGCTTAGCCACTTGAAGGTTGAAGGGTTAGGCAGTTGATGAGCAAGGGTCAGGAGCAAAGGGTGACAGATGAGATGGGCAGAGGCCAGTCCATGACAGATCATAGCTTCTGGGCCAGACCTTCAACAGTATTTACCAATAGAAGGCAAGCAGTACCGCCCTGGCTGGTTTGGCTTAGTGGATAGAGCGTCGGCCTGCAGACTGAAGGGTCCCGGGTTCGATTCCAGTACGGGCACATGCCCGGGTTGTGGGCTTGGTCTCCAGTAGGGGGGTACAGGAGGCAGCCTATCAGTGATTCTCATCATAGATGTTTCTCTCTCCCTCTCCCTCTCTGAAAGCAATAATGTATATATATAAAAGAAGGCAAGGAGTACCTTCATTTCACAGATTGAGATAAATTAGCTCAGAGAGGCAAAGTGATTTGCTGAGGGTCCACAGCAAGTCACAGGTAAAATGGGTCGACCCAGCCAGATCTCTTCGACACAGGGTGGATGCCTGGCACTTACTGTGCCAACATATGCTCACTCGGTGTCTACACACACACCTGGGTCCTCACAAGAACCCCCCACCACAGGTAGGGCAAGGGCATCACCTTCAGCTCACACATGAGGAAATAGGCTCAGGACTCGGGACTCTTAGGCCATGTCCCAAAGCCTCTGGTTCCCTCAGGGACCCTACAAAACATAATTGGTCCTTCTCTGTCCTTCGTCTTGCTGAAACTCATTTCCCTCAAATGCCACCCACTTCCCCCAGCAGCATAAACTAGAAAGGTACAAGGCAGGCAGGCAGGCAGGCAGGAAAGCCGTGGCCTTTTTAATGGAGGTTGAACAAGGCAACGAGTTCAGGCAACATTGCACCATCGTCCAGCACCTCTGCTGAAAGAAAGCCTTGCAGGAAAGGCTTTAGCAGCTGGCTGGGAACAGGGTTAAGGGGAGCGGCCCCTCCTGCTCCAAAGGCCCCACTCTACCGCCACCCTGCCCCATTTGGGAGCCCCTGGCTACAGAGCTGGGCCAGGGCCCTGGGGAGCGGCTGCAGCCCCCAGGCCAGGGAGCAGGCTGGTCAACCTGCCCTCCCTCCTGCCCCGATTCACCACAATGCAGACTAACCCAGCTGACAGCACAGCACGGACATGCCCCAAACAGGCCACCCCACAAGGGGTGGGGCTGAGGGATGAGGTTGGCAAACCACCTCCCTCAGCAGGAGGGCATCAACCCCCACTTGTCTGCCAGGCTCCGGGGCCCCAGAAAACCTTAGAGCTCAGGGCCCTTTAGCCAATCAACAACTTGAGTGAGCCAGAGCCTGCTCGGAGCCCCTCCCCCCACAAAGAGGCAAAGGAGGAAGTAGAGGGGGATGTGCTCTGAGAGGGGAAGCACTCAGTGGTTTCCCAGCAGCCAGAGCTCAGGAGCTGGACAGGTCAGCACCGGCCTCTTCCGCGTCTGTCTCCTCTGCCCTTCAGGAAGGGGAGCTGCAGGGCCAGAGCAGGCCCACTCCAACTGGGGGAGCCCTTGCTCTCCCAGGCCTTTCCAGCCAGCACTGACTTACGTTACAGCCCCAAAGAAAACCAG